GTTAGTGTCGACACAAAAACCACAATATTGATGTGTTTAATTGTCACAAATAATTGTAATTTGCGACCAAAGTTGTCACAAATACATTGTTCAAGAAGGTATGGTCTAGGGATCGGGTCAATTATCACTGAAGTAACTATTAGTAACGAATGTTATTGTTACATATGCAACATTACGGTCACTCATAATTTATGACTATAAGATTGTCACAACAAAAAACATTTACTAACAAAAATTTCATCACAAAAACAACATCAACGGTGACAACACAACATATCACAAAAATATTATTAAACTCCAATCTTGCTATTAGCAATACTAAACATTTGGTAACAGGTTCTGCCAAATGCTTTATTTTAAGGTTAGATACATATTCTATCAAGTTCTCGTTAGTTAATATCCTTGTCTTCATGAGATCCCTTCCTCCTTCGGTGCAATGAGCCAAACTTCACCTCTGGTTCTTGAATCCCTTCACCATTCTCTAAATCTTTCAGTACCTGAGATCATTTTCAGTTTTAGCGGGTCAGTAATTTGTTTGGACATACTTTAGTAGGCAAACATAAATGTTCAACAGTTTAGATAATTGTGCCACTGGGAATTAAATAGGAAGAAATATTTTGAAGAAAAGACTCAAGGCATGGGAAGTAGAATTCAGGATCACCTTTTCATCTAACATTAATAGGCTCCATTTGTCTTTTGTTAGAAAAGACTCAAGGCGTGAGAAGAGAGAAAAAACCATTGATGAAGTACTGTACCCTGCCGATCACATAAGAGGAGAGTCACAGGTTGATGCGATGATCTTGTCGATGAATCAAGTGAGATGGCCGATCGGGATTCCTCGTAGATCGGTTAGAGTCCGCAAAAGAGGAGAGGATTGGAGGTTGATTGAATTTCGTTTATGGCGGAAGACTGAAAGACAAAGGGCTTTTGACTTTCGTAATCGGCCAGGGTTTTTTCCTTTAGCGGCGTGGGAATGAACAGTAGACGAAGGCTTGTGTAATATCAATTTTTTATCAATTAGAAGAAGAATAGGAAGGAAAGTGCTTTATTGATTTACCATGATTAGGAAACATATTTATTAGGTAATTAAGAGATAAAGGGAAATGTAATCACTTAGGATCTTCAGCTTTTCTATTTATGGGATTTATCTCTTTTTAGTTTTTTATATTAGCAAGATATTTACATATAAAGAATAATCAAAATGTTTTTCTTGTTACGAATTGTGAAGTAGATTTTTTTATGGAAATTGTGAAGTAGATTTTATGCAACCCAATATGTTAAAATGTTGCGTAAACTTTATAAATAGACAACCAATTAATAATCGATTACATGAGTGTTGCGTATAATAGAGCAAATGCAACATATAACTAATTTGAGTTGCGTAAATCATCCAATACGCAACCTAAGAAAAAAGTGTTGCAGTTATATATTTAAAGCAACTCTTTCAAATAGTGTTGCAATCCAAGTGTTGCAAGAACCCCTTTTTCCCGTAGTGTTCCATGCAAGGGACGTTCCAGGGTCTACTCCGGTTATGGATGCTATCGAGAGGACTATTTCTCAGGAACAAAATGAAGCACTTACCCGTCCCTTTTGTCGGGAGGAGGTGGTGACAGCCTTGAAACAGATGGGAAAGCGAAAGGCCCCAGGAGCAGATGGTATGTCGGTGCTTTTTTATCATCGCTTCTGGAATATTATTGGTGATGACGTGGTCGGGACAGTTTTGAAAATTCTTGAACAGGGGGTAATGCCGGAGCAGCTTAATCACACTCTCATTGCTTTAATCCCTAAAGTTAAGAACTCGGAGTCCCCTAAGGAATTTAGGCCTATTAGTTTGTGCAATGTGCTGTACAAACTGGTGGCTAAGGTTCTTGCAAACCGTCTGAAGGGGGTTCTGGACTCTGCAGTATCAGAAGAGCAAAGTGCTTTTGTACCGGGGAGATTTATTACTGACAACATGATGGCTGCTTTTGAGTGCTTTCATTCAATGAAGAAGGTTGGGAAAACTAGAAAGAGTGGCTTCTTTGCAGCAAAAATTGATATGGCAAAAGCCTACGATCGAGTGGAGTGGTGGTTCTTAGAAGGTGTCATGAAGAAAATGGGTTTCTCTGAGCAGTGGGTTCACTGGATTATGATGTGTGTTCGGTCGGCAACCTATTCAGTCTTGGTAAACGGACACCAGTCTCAGAGCTTTAACCCGGAAAGAGGTCTGAGACAGGGAGACCCTCTGTCCCCTTATTTGTTCTTACTATGCGCCGAGGGTTTGTCCGCGTTCACTAAGCAGGCTGTCTCAAACGGTGGTTTTCATGGTATCGAACCAGCTAGAGGGGCCCCTTGTGTAACCCATCTCTTTTTTGCAGATGATAGTGTCTTCTTTGGGAAGGCGGCGGTCCAAGAAGCCAATACCTTGAAGGAGATTCTAAAAGCTTATGAGCGCGAGTCGGGTCAGCAGGTTAACTTCCAGAAATCCGTGATATCCTTCAGTGGTAATGTCAAAACGCACCTCAGGCTGATGATCAGTGGGACTTTGGATATGAAGGCGGTGGATAAGCATGAGAAATATTTGGGCCTCCCGGCAGTGGTTGGTCGATCAAAGAAAGAAGTCTTCCTGGGCATTACCGAGAGAATAAGAAAGAAGCTGAAGAGCTGGAAGGAAAGGGTTCTATTAGTAGCAGGGAGAGAGGTTTTAATTAAATCCAGGGGCGGAGGTACATTGGAGGTAGGGTGGGCCCCGGCCCCCCCGGGATTGGTCCCGGCCCCTAGTACCTTAAGTATATTTAGTGAAAATTTTATAAGTACAGCTTGTTCTGTAGATTTTGTTAAATAATAGCTTCTGGTCTAATGGTAACAAACCTTGACTTTGTATATTAACTTACATGGGTTCGATTCCCATCTACCATATATATTTTGCTTAACTCAGTTTTTATACTTTCATTAACGGAAATCCCAGCCCGATTTATTACTTTAATAATTCCAAGTCCCAACTTAATCTCCATCTCTCCCATGTCCCCAAACCAAACGGAAATCCCATCCCCCATTTATTATTTTAATAATTCCAAGTCCCAACTTGAAATGGAAAAACAAATCCTTATTTATTATCCAACCTAAAAAGCCTAACCCTAGTCTGTTAGTCTCCTCTCCCGTTCATATTCTCTGCTAAAAGAGTGGTCTTTCTTCCTCTGCTACAACCTACAAGCGGGCCAATCAGCAATTGGGGTATGTGAAAAAAGAAGTATATCATCTCCAAATCAACGTGAATAAGAAGCCAATACTATACTTTGTCCTTAGCTGCAGCTTTTACAGTCCACTTTTCTCCAAGATCATTAACAAGTCGGGTAAGTGTAAGTCTAAACAAGTTCTGATTTTGTTCTGTTTTTTTACGTTTTGGCATACAAATACAATATAATTCTTCTCCAGTTTTTTTTGGACCAATGGTCCAATACAATATAGTTCTGATTTTTTTTCTTTTACTGTTTTTGTTACTGTTTTGCTTTCGGCTCCAATTTGTGTAATCTTTTCAAATGTTATTCTCTATATAATAATAGCATCTTATGTTTTTCAGTGAATATGAAGAGGAAGCAAAATACGATTGATTCTTTTTATAAGAAAAAGGAAGTGTTACAAGCTGAAAATCTTTTACAAAGCGAACAAGTAAAAAATGTGGAAGAAGAAGTAGAAGAAGAGGAGGAGCAAGAAGAAATCCCTAGTTCAAGAGTTAAGGATCCATCTTTTGCTATAGTGGAACGAGATCCCGGTTTGCGAAATCCAATTTGGACATATCCGCATGGCAAACAGGACGAGATTAGGCGAGCATATTCTCAATGCAATTAGATTGGTGGACTCTACAAAAAAACTCTTGACCGAAGTGAGGGAGAAAGAGTGGGATTCTTTGCTTGCTGATGTCAATGCATTTTGCAAGCAACATGATATTGAGGCTCCTGATCTTAGTGCTCCATTTTTCAGAGGTCGATCTATTCGAAAGCGAGATGTTACAAACGAACATCATTACCATTATGATGTATTCAATGCTGCAATTGATGTTCAGATTGCCGAACTAGAGTCAAGGTTTAATGATAGAGTGGTGGAACTACTGAAGTTGAGCTCAAGTTTGGTTCCTAAAGATGGGTATATGACGTTCGACATTGTTGCTATCTGTAAGCTTGCAAAGGAGTATTATCCTCTTGATTTTTCAGAAGAGGAAATGGATACATTAGAGTTCCAGTTGGGGCTTTTTCGAATTGAAATTCCTGACCATTCTTCTTTGCAGAAGCTATCGTCTATTTCTGAGTTATGTCAGGGATTAGCAAAGACAGAGTTGTCAAAGGACTTCTATCTTGTTGACAGGCTGATTCGTCTTCTCCTCACTCTTCCAGTTTCTACTGCTACAGGTGAACGTGCATTTTCGGCTATGAAGATAGTGAAGAATAGACTGCGAAACAAGATGAATGATGAATTTCTTGCTGATAGTTTAGTTATTTATATTGAAAGAGTGATAGCTAAAAGTTTTAGTTTAGATGCTATTTTGAGTGATTTCAATGATCTCAAAGAACGTCGTGTACTTCTTAAATAATTATAAAATAATATCTTAATTTTTTATTTATTTATTTTTCGGCCCCCCCGGTCTCGAAATCCTGGCTCCGCCCCTGATTAAATCGGTGGCACAAGCGCAGTTCACTTATGCGATGTCAGTCTTTCGGGTCCCAGCTCTTGTTGTGGAAGAAGTTCATAATCTTATTGTTAACTTTTATTGGGGGCCGCGTGGTACAGAGAGGCGAGTACATTGGCTGAGAACAGAAGAGACGACATGTTCGAAGGAGGAGGGCGGTCTCGGTTTGAGGGATCTTCAGGGCTTTAATACGGCGATGCTTGCAAAACAGCTCTGGCGGCTCCATGAACGCCCCGACTCCATCATTGCCCGTATCATGAGAGCTAAGTACCATAGAAACAGCTCGGTTTTAGAAGCCTCAGTGGGTTTTCGGCCTAGCTTCATTTGGCGGAGCCTAATGAGTGCCCAGGAGTTCTTAAATGAAGGTTTGAGGTGGCGAGTAGGCAATGGAGCGTCGATCCGTGTCTGGGGGGACAGGTGGCTTCCAACGGAGAATGCAACTTACGTAGAGTCAGCACCCATGGGGCTCCCTGTGGATGCCACGGTTCGTGAGCTAATATCGCCGGATACTGACGAGTGGGATGAGGCAGTTCTTGAAGGATGCTTCCCGACTGAGATAGCAAATGTCATTCGACAGATTCCTCTTCGCAATATTGAGGAAAACGACAGGCTGATCTGGAAAGGAAACTCCTCAGGAAACTATACTGTCCGAGACGGTTATCGGTTATGGATGAAGGATTTTAAAGCTCGGGAGGCTATCGTGCAGATTGGGGAGACGCAAGTATGGAAGAGTCTATGGAATCTAAATATCCCTCCAAAGGTAAAACACTTCCTATGGCGGTTTATAAGGGACATTCTCCCCACTGGCGATCATATAAGCTTGAAAAGCAATAGATGGGGTGATAAATGCCCTTTCTGCAATATCCGCGAGACTCAAGCTCACATCTTTGGAGAATGTGCGTGGTCGGCGAGGCTTTGGAGAGGGACGGAGCTGGCCGAGTGCTTCGAACTCCGCCAATCGGAATGCTGCTACTCTTGGTTCAAAACGGTCCTCGAGAATAAGCAAAGCGCTGCTGTTGAAGAATGGGGCAGCCTTCTTTGGTTTATATGGAAAGAGAGGAATGCTCAAATCTTCAATGGTTTGAAACTTCGGGAGGATGAAATTGTGCCTAGAGCCAAGGCGTTTATTGATGAGTATCGTGAGCAGCAGGTGATCGATAGGGGAGTGGCTGCACCTGTTACAACAACGGGCTGGGAAAAACCGGGACAAGGCTTTGTAAAGGTGAACACGGACGCGGGGGTGTTTGTAGATGGAGGCATTGGGCTTGGCGTGGTTGTTCGAGGGGAGGAGGGAAATTTCATCTTAGCTGCAGCAAAGAAGATTGCTGGGAGATGGGAACCGGAGATGGCGGAGGCGCTTGCTGCGGAGTTCGGTGTGCAAGTTGCGGTTGAAGCTCGCCTACAGAACCTCATCCTGGAGACTGATTGCCAAACGCTGACAGCCAAGCTAGCAATGGCAGAGAACATCCATACTGAGATCGGTATTGTGTGCCGAAATATTTTGAAAATGCTCAGGGAGACAGGTCACAGTTCGTGGCGGTACTGGTCGAGAGAAGGTAACAAGGCAGCACATATTATGTCCCACTCGGAAACGAGATGGAACGAGAGTATGGTTTGGCTAGATAGGCCACCTATTTTCCTTGTTGATCAGATTTTGCTGGACAATGTAACCGCAATGCCTGCTTAATAAAGCTGATACAGATTTCCGTAAAAAAAAAAAAAATCATTGCATTAATATTGATTGTCACCTTATAAGCGTTTTCTATTATATAACGTGGCTACATGACGAAAATCTTTGGTATAACAATGAAATCGTTTTTGTCTATAAAATATATGCATTAATTGTTGGCCCGGATGGTATGAAATACTCGTAGTATGAACATAGATCTACAAAATATATAGGCAAAATATGGTTTGAAATTCTTTCATTTCAAATTTCATAGTCTGAGAGTGGTTCTAGGAAAGTCATTTTTGTCATTGCACCCTGTTCATGTTTATATATTAAAAATGTTAATATTGGAGTTTGAACCTTTGTCACTTAAATATATAAAGAGCATTGTAACCAACTAGCCTACATTTTATTTGTTTTTATTTCTTTATTTGTTTTCTATTTTTATATTTTATCTTAAGTTATTTATATTTTATAGAAAGAGATTAGTTCTGAAACCGGAACTCAAGTAGTATTGATTCAAACATTAATATTAAATTGTAGGGTGTGCCTACGGTGACATGCATGTCACGGTGACTTGCACTTTCCGGTCGACCTCAGTTAGGATTAGGTCGACCTCATTTAGAATTCGGTCGACCTCATATAGGATCCGGCCGACCTCATATAGAATCAGGTCGACCTAATATGTGTTTTCAGTGTAAAAACAGTTCATGGTGCCTACTTTGGATATTCATATCATACAATTGGCTAGATGGAAATTGAAGACTAATGACTTGTTTTGAAGCTGGAGTGCCCCTCTGCATATTGAAGTGATTGAGAGCTCGATAGGAAGTTCAGAAGACCATTTTTGAACCTCATCAAAAGGCTATGCCAAAACTGCGAAACTGCCTGGAAATGCTAAGTCTGGAAACGTGTTTGTGAAGCCTATTTTGGAGCTCAATTAGAGAAGCATGAATGCGAGTCGAGTCCAGGAGCCTCTACCACGTTAAATTAGGTATGTTCTTATACAAATTCAAGGCATTGGATGAAAGATTGGATATCTGTAAGGCTTCAAACAAAAGGGTCGAAGTTGCTACGAAGACTGTTTTCTGGTAGACTTCGAGCACAAGCAAGCGGCCAGAAAAACAGCTTTCATAGCAACTTCGAGCCTTTTGTTTGAAGCCTTAAAGATATTCAATATTTCATCCAATGCCTTTCCTTTGTATAAAAAAATACGTAATTTAACGTGGTAGAGGCCCCTTAGACTTGACTCGCATCCATGCTTCTCAAATTAAGCTCCAAAGTAGTCTTGACAAACACGTTGCCAGACTTAGTCATTTTTAGGCAGTTTCCCAGTTTTGGCATAGCCTTTTGGTCAGGTTCAAAAATGGTCTTCTGGACTTTCTATTGAGCTCTCAAGTACTTTAATGTGTAGAGGGACTCTCAGCTTCAAAACAAGCCTTTAATCTCCAATTTTCATCTAGCCAATTGTAAGATATGAATCTCCAAAGTAGGCACTATGAAACTGTTTTTACACTGAAACAACATATTAGGTCGACCTGATCCTATATGAGGTCGACCGAAAAGTGCATTCACCGTGACATGCATGTCATCGTAGCAAAGTCCTAAATTGTATGTATTGTTTAGTTTAGACAAAATACAAAAGTGTAACCAAAACATGGACCTTTATGACGAGTATAATTATTTTTTGTGACAAATCTACACATAATATAATGATAAAATTGGAAAATGAGAGTCTCATTTCAAATTTCGTGGCTCGAGAGTGATTATAGGAAGCTCTTTTTTCGTCATAGTGCCAATCCATCTTTATATTATGTGTAGATTTGTGAGAAAAAAATTAATATATTTGTCACAGAGATCCATGTTTTGGCTACAGATATGTATTTTTTCTAAATGAACCACACATATAATTTATTATTTAATGTTTCAATCCATGTTACTTGAGTTCCCATTTCACAATTAATCACTTTTTTTTTTGCAAGTAATTTCATTAAGATAGCCGTGGGCAAAGCCCAAAGGTAAGATACAAATACAACTTAGAATAGGAAAAGGAAAAAAACAAGACCAATGATCAGGACCCAAACAGACTTTAGGCCCAAGACAGCAAGCCCAACACGTTTTTTCCTAACCCTAGCCGTAAGAAGTAGAAGCCCTCTTGTTTCCAACCATCACTGCTGCAGGTTTCAAACACCACCAGCAACCACCATCGCTGGAGAGAAGGAAACCACCAACCTAAATGAAGGATCTACGAGAACAAGAGCTGCCACCTCATGCACCAGATCCTCGCTGGACCAAAGTCTTGAACACCCCTTCAGCTCACACCACCAGGAGATGCATCAGAATAGAGAGGCGGCCGATGATGGAACCAAGAGAGCAAAATCTCTGTCTTAATGCTCGTCATTCCAAGTCAAAGCCGAGGCTGCATCTCCGAAACACCAAGATCTGCAAAGTGAAGTAAGAAGGTAGACAAAGGGAAAGATGAGAAGAAGACAAGTTGAATCTTAAAAAAAAAATCCAGCCTCCCTTGCCACTTAGAACGGATCATCTCTAGATCTGAAAAAATCAGAGCAGAGGACAAAATCAAACCCACTTAAGGGAGGAAACTGAACCCACAAGGGGCAAGAAGCTGGACGGAAGCAAGTAAGAAAACCAACCAAGGGTATGGAAAAGCGACGAAGACAAAGAAGAAAAAATCAGAAGGAACGGAAGCATGGTAACAAAGAACAACAAATCAAAAAGAGAAAATAAGATAACGAAAAAGAAGATAACAACAGAAAAATAAGAGGCGGAGGGCCGTCACTGGTCCCCGGAGGATGCCACCGGCAGCCCCCATGGCGGCATCTTTATACAGAGGGCAGCTTCAGATAAAATGCCTTTTCTACTTGGTTGAAGAAACTATTTCTATAAGATATATTCAATGTTTTAACATTTTCTATTTCCAATTTCGTGAAGCGAGAGTGAAAGTAAGAACAATAGTTTTGTCATCACAATTATTATCTACTGCATATGAAAAAGTATCAATATCAAGATTTAAACCATGGTCTTTTCAAACCAAAACAATAATCACAACCAATTAGACTAAACAAATTTGTTTTATCTTCTTAAATTGTAAACATGCACTAAGCAAATATTTGAAAAGCAGAGGACTTTTCACGGTTAGCTAGCCTATTAAATCTTGTGAAAAGTAAAGTTTAATACTTGATTTATAATTTTTATAACCTATAAAATGACGGGCAATCTTAAAATTGCAACACAAATTTAATTGCTTGAAATGTTACATATCGAACAGCAGTATTAAATATGCAAAATTAATGTAGAATTCTTTAAATTAATATAAAATTTCAGAACTAATACGAAATAATAATATTTTGAACAAACTATAGGTGATTAGTTCTCTAAAATTTTAGCCTGCTTAACTGCTAAACGTTAAACTCTTAATAATCGGGAATGAATAAACCCAACAATTATGAGACGATATCATGTTTAATGTGATGTTTATTTTGTCAGTTTTGGATGGGATGCGTTGATCAATTTATAAGGCTTTAACATATAAATAAGTTATAATTAACCTCATTATAAATTTTTACTCTTTATAATAATTAATTTAATATTATAAATTTCTACTCTTTATAATAATAATTTAATTTAATCTTAAATTTTTTACTTGGTGCATTTATGACTGTTTTTATCTTGGTGTTGTGAATAAGTAGAAACTTTATTATTATAATGCATATAACTATACATAGGCACATGGTCGAGCTAGCAGGACATAGTTAGAACATACCATGAAGACAATGTATATGGATCGGCCATGTACAAGCATAAATGCTTCATGAGTCGTACCAAACTTAAACTTCAAAGGCTCGTGCACAATTGCAAGCACCACAAAGTCAATATGTGTTTTATTGAGAAATGCGCCATTTGATAAAAATAAAATAAAATATTCTACAAATAACATATAAAATTTGAATTAATGAATAGTTTCTCACATCAACGTGTGAGGGCTCGTATTCTAAAAGGTTTATAAAATACATTCATTGTTTATTTTAGAGACTCAAACCATTTTCAATGTATACAACTAACTATTTATTTACAAAATCATTCTTAATTAACTTCATAGTTGAAAAGTCTTTATTACAGCTTGCACTATTAACAAACAACGTCAACAATAACTTTAGAAGCAAGTAAAGTGAAGAATAAATTGAGAGTTGGTATTTCTTTGCAAATGTGTGTGAGGGGGAGTTTTTTTTGTCTAAAAATTTGAGTAAGGGTTGAAACTCATATATAATTTGTTTGAATATTGAATATTGCATATTGAATTGGAGTATTCAACATTTTGGAAGCGATATTTAATTCTTAAATTAGTATTAAGAATGAGATTAAGTTTGACCAATAGCCTTAGACCTTTTGCTAATCTGACATGGATCCAATAATCATAAGATGAGATTTAGTTTGATATGTCGTCGGTTCAAAACCATTTTTTATGTGTTATGAATTTGTACGACAAATACATGTAAAGTGAAGATGAACTTGATTATGCATTTTGATTCTTTAGATAAATACAATGGTTTAAGGCTTTAAGCGATGAACAAACTATGCACTTACTCAAATGGTTTAACGAGTTCTGCTTTTTCACTTTTAATAATTAGTTTATTCACAAGCTATCAAGCTACCTTGCTCCGTCGATGAATAAGCGACCATTTGTTCGCCAGGTTTCAGGTGCTCTGATTCACACTATCGACTGTAAATGGAGAAGAAGCATTTCAAACCCAAAATTGGAGAAGTAATTGGGATGTTTCTAGGTTTTCCTCGATTCCATGCGGTGGGAAGGGAAAATGGAGAGAGTGGTGAGATACAAAACTGATAGAGAGATGGAAGAACATATGCAAAAACAAAGAGAAAGACAAAGGGAGAGTGAAAGGACACATTTAAAAGAGGAGGAAAATGAGGTAAAGTGAAATAATTGTCTTTCTACTTTGATTAGTGGATATTTTTGGTCTTATTCTGTTTAGTTTTGA